CGTCTCTGTGTTCGAATGTATGGAAGACGCACAAGGTGCACTTGATAGATTAACAAATGCTGTTGCCACATTCGGTATATACTTTTCACCTTCAAAGTGCAAACTGATGCTGCAAGACTGGGTGTCGTCTGCTTTGAAATAAATGACCGGGAATTAGTGTGACTAATGACGATAGCGTGGTCAAGGAAGTAACCACTCACATTTCCAAGGCTAGTGCAACTTACACAGGACTGAAACACCTTTGATGCAGGTGTGATGTTTCCTTGAAACTGAAAGGTCGCGAGTACTGCACCAGTATGCGGTCAGTTCTGCTTTGCGGTTGCGAGACAATTAAGTTGCGTGTCGGAGATATTTATCATCTAGAAGTCTTCGATTGCCGATGTTTGGCCTGAGTTAGATGGAGGAAGAGTGCAAACAACTCTGAGTTAATGGTTCGGCAGAAAATGCGTTGTCACATAGAAAATAGATGAGTAAGCTTTGCCGTCTAGTACACCTATTGCGTATGCTCAGCTGGAATATACCTCATCGCGTCCTATTCGCAGTTGCGGCTCCAGGTTGGAGGAAACCACATGTAGGTTAACAGGTGATGTCGAAACAGAGCATGAAAAAATGCACGGCGTGATTAGGTAAAGTGGGTGTCTTCCGTCTTCCAGATTCGGATCTGACCGAATCTGTAAGTGGGTGGTTGGAGACACCGGAGCATATGACAACGAATTGACAGCAGTAGCGTTCTTGTTTTCATTTATTAAACCAGAATGCTTTAAACGGTATGCCTGTACAGATAAATTGTGTACTCCTTGTGTTAACGATGATGAATTCTACTTTGTGAAATAGAGTTCATTCGGAAACTCCCCTGATGGGTCATTCTCGTCGACTTTTAAGGATATCAGTTGAGAAATGGATTTAGATTTGACGAAACTGTTTGGTTCAATAAGGAAAAGTGGCGTGATCTATTTTTTATTTCAACACGTAGCCAATTGCAGAGAACTGGTAAATGTGCCACAAGATATGAACACAAATAAATTTGTATGATGTGTTCATAGGTTATGCGGGCATGTTCCCGGTAGCCCTGGCCGAGGAAGGGCGATAGCCTCGGGGTCCCCACCCGAAGCCTTTGGGTAGAAGGCCAGACCTGCAAGACAACAGGACGGAGCTCAGAGTCCGCAGTCAAATAGGGGGCCGGTGTCCACTTCACTGGGTCATACGCCCTTTGGATGGGGTCAAACGTCCAACACACCTTGATGCCCAATTGAGCCGGTGACCACTGCCACAACCAGGAAGGTGTGCGTGTGGTTCCTAAGCTTCCTCTTAGTTGGTTTGAAATCAGGATTTTTAGTCAACTCCCTTAGGTGAACTGCCAATGGTTCACCAGCCCAGTTATAGCCTCGGATATCGACTGTTCGTCCTCTCTTTTCGGTGGTAAAACACCCGCCACGGGAAGTCAGTGAATAGGGCTTCTTTAGCAGAGGCTATTTGAGACCATGTAGGAGCATTTCGCGAGGTGTAAGGGAATGGTGACCAGTCACAATCCCAGACACCCACCCCGATCGTACTGACCGTAGGGTTGAGGTACCTCACAGTGCCCGGGATTAAACTTTATATATATATATATATATTGATGTTCAGTTGTTCGCCGAGCTTGGCAATTGCCAACTGAATTGCCAACAACTGAACATCAAATTATACCACCCGAGCTACAAAAACAACAATCAACACCGTTGTTTACAAAACTGTTATATATATAAGATTGTTTGATAAACTTCTTATTCACGGAGACCTATTGAGAGGTTATCCGCTCAATAACATAATCTGTTGGTCAGAACTTCTTTCCTCTGTTTTTTATCCTCAGAAATCTGCCCTGGATCAATCTCTATTGGGCTTGTGTATTCTGTCCGCCTTGCTAGACGAAATGTCCAATGCGGAGGACAGTGTTCAGTTGGATCTCCCTCTGGAGGCGCACATATTTCTTCGTGCTCGTTTTCAGGTATCGTTCAGGATTTCATACATCGCGCGTCTGAGTTGCTTTTCTGCCATAAACTCCAACCACAAACCCCGTTGTGATGAAGATTTTTGTATCATGGTTTTTTTGGATTCAGGTCTATGTGAAACATGATTTATGATTCGTGGAGTATGAATCGGTTTTTGCAGATCAGTTGATAAACTGGGGATATACGTGGCATCCTTAATATTACTCCTTTTTCTCTCAGATGATGCCCGTCGGAACCTTCCGCTTTCAAGGGCAGCGTGGTTGCCATGGCCTTATTTAAAGATGTCACGTCACGGTGCCACACAAACAACTGTTTCATTACAGGGTGATCGCTTGCCAGTCGAGAGCCGCCAATTCCTGAATGATGTAAAACATCCTTTTGCCTTTATCCATTTCATCAACAGAGGAAGACATGTGGGCAGAATTGATATTGGTCATCAATTTCGCGTGCTCTAATTCAGCTATGAACGCACATTTATATGATCATGTGAAATGAAGAAACATAAGAGTTAAAATGAGCCATTTAAACAAGACGGTGCAAAAGTAAGTTGCGTGATTGGTGTTTAATTAGGGGTTGAGGTCAAGTTAGATGAAAAAATTTGATATGGAGGTGAACTGGCCCGAAAGATGTGGTAAATGTGGTTGAGGAAGGGGAAGGAAAGGTTATGTTATTGTGTGTTTGGGTGGTATCGAGTGTGACATCATCACAACCGCGGCGGCAACAGTTGCATCACAAATGATCTTTGAACACAATTGCGGTTCCAAACGATGAATGATTATAGCTTCTAAGAATAGCAAAGTTCGTGAACTTCGAGGCCTCGCAATGACTCGAAACACTTTGGGTGAATCAGAGCACGCGAGATTGATGGCCTTTATCAATTCTGCCCACGTCTTTGTGTCTTCCTAAATGATGGTTGCTGAATGGACACAACCATTTATCCTTTGGAACCAGATCCTCCAATTTTTGGTCACTTTTGGACATCAAGGCGTTCCTGGTAGCTTAAAATTACACTGATCGCAGGGTTGAGGTATCTTAAATATTATATATATATATATATACAAGAGAACATGTTTGATAAACTTCTTAGTCACGGAGACCTATTGTGAGATTATCCGCCTAACAATAAAATCTGTAAGTTTCGAATCAGAGGGCTCCTTGAAGCCTAAATAGTTTAGAATATGTATTGGACACGATGATAGTAGTAGTTATCCCCCCTTATTCATGTGACAAGGTTTTTCGATGCTAGTATCCATTGAACTTACATCTGGCATTTCATGCTATGATACAGATTACAGCACTCCCCGATATTGCTTCACCCATCTGCATCGTGTTCTGATAACGGGTTCACTTCGAATTTCAGAGTGACATCTGAACTGTCACTCTCTGTCGCGACCGTGCAAATACTGCCAGTCAATGCCAGTCCTCCATCTGAAATGGAGGTTACCCGAGAATTAAGCTATCTCAAAGGGTATAAGGCTTCCGGCTCCGACGGTCTGTCCCCATCGGCTTTTAAGTATGGAGGTCTAGCCTTGGTTTTGGAGTTAACAAAACTCCCGGGTTCATTGTGGGGAAAGGAACAGGTTCCAACTGAATGCTGTGAATCGGTCATCATACCGATCTACAAGAAAGGTGATAGATCCCACTATGAAAACCACAGAGGA